CTGCGAAATGCACCCGCCACTTTCCAAAGACTTGTAGATGGTCTCCTAGCGGGATTAGGAGAATATGCAGTCGCCTACCTTGACGATGTGGCCATATTTTCGGATTCCTGGGCAGACCACCTGGAACATCTACAAAAAGTCCTTGAGCGCATAAGGGAGGCAGGACTAACTGTTAAGGCTAAGAAGTGTCAAATAGGCCTAAACAGAGTGACTTACCTTGGACACCAGGTGGGTCAAGGAACTATCAGCCCCCTACAGGCCAAAGTGGATGCTATCCAAAAGTGGCCTGTCCCAAAGTCAAAGAAACAGGTTCAATCCTTCTTAGGCTTGGCCGGTTATTACAGACGATTTGTACCGCACTACAGCCAAATCGCTGCCCCACTGACAGACCTAACCAAAAAGAAACAGCCAAATGCTGTTCAGTGGACCGGAAGGTGTCAGAAGGCCTTTAACAAGCTTAAAGCGACACTCATGTCTGACCCTGTACTAAGGGCCCCAGACTTTGACAAACCGTTCCTAGTAACCACAGATGCATCCGAGCGTGGTGTGGGAGCAGTTTTAATGCAGAAAGGACCTGATCAAGAATTCCACCCTGTAGTGTTTCTCAGCAAAAAACTGTCTGAGAGGGAAAGCAACTGGTCAGTCACTGAAAAAGAATGTTATGCCATTGTCTACGCTCTGGAAAAGCTACGCCCATATGTTTGGGGACGGCGTTTCCACCTGCAAACCGACCATGCTGCACTAAAGTGGCTTCACACCGTCAAAGAAACTAACAAAAAACTTCTTCGGTGGAGTTTAGCTCTCCAAGATTTTGATTTCGACATCCAACACATCTCAGGAGCTTCTAACAAAGTGGCTGATGCACTCTCCCGTGAAAGTTTCCCAGAATCAACTGGTTAAAATCGTCCTTGAGATGTGGAAAATATTGTTAGTCTTTATGTACTTGGTAGTATATTTAGAGATGCATGTGTCTTATTAACTCTGTTTTCCTAGAGCTCCAGGAAGAAATCCCAGCCAGTGTTTCACCCTAGCTGAGATTTGGGGGCGTGTCATAAATATAAAGGGAAGGGTAAACCCCTTTGAAATCCCTCCTGGCCAGGGGAAAGCTCCTCTCACCTGTAAAGGGTTAAGAAGCTAAAGGTAACCTCGCTGGCACCTGACCAAAATGACCAATGAGGAGACAAGATACTTTCAAAAGCTGGGAGGAGGGAGAGAAACAAAGGGTTTGTGTCTGTCTGTGTGCTGCTCTTGCCAGGGACAGAACAGGAATGGAGTCTTAGAACTTTTAGTAAGTAATCTAGCTAGGTATGTGTTAGATTATGATTTCTTTAAATGGCTGAGAAAAGAATTGTGCTGAATAGCATAACTATTTCTGTCTGTGCATCTTTTTTGTAACTTAAGGTTTTGCCTAGAGGGGTTCTCTATGTTTTTGAATCTAATTACCCTGTAAGATATCTACCATCCTGATTTTACAGGGGGGATTTCTTTCTTTATTTCTATTTACTTCTATTTTTTATTAAAAGTCTTCTTGTAAAAACTGAATGCTTTTTCATTGTTCTCAGATCCAAGGGTTTGGGTCTGTGGTCACCTATGCAAATTGGTGAGGCTTTTTATCCAACATTTCCCAGGAAAGGGGGGGTGCAAGTGTTGGGAGGATTGTTCATTGTTCTTAAGATCCAAGGTTCTGGGTCTGTAGTCACCTAGGCAAATTGGTGAGGCTTTTTACCAAACCTTGTCCAGGAAGTGGGGTGCAAGGTTTTGGGAAGTATTTTGGGGGGAAAGACGCGTCCAAACAGCTCTTCCCCAGTAACCAGTATTAGTTTGGTGGTGGTAGCGGCCATTCCAAGGATAACGGGTGTAATATTTTGTACCTTGGGGAAGTTTTGACCTAAGCTGGTAAAGATAAGCTTAGGAGGTTTTTCATGCAGGTCCCCACATCTGTACCCTAGAGTTCAGAGTGGGGGAGGAACCTTGACAGGGGTGACTCGGGATGTAATAATTTGCAGATGTTTAAGATAAATAATTGTGTGCCAGTTGAGAAACAACTGAGAGAAACTTTGAAGGAACCTAAACAATGTAGATGAATGGGAAACATGACAAATGAACATTGTTGATTAAATGCAAAGTAATGTACAGTAAAGGAGGAAAAATAAATTACTCTATATACATGATAGGTTTGTAAAAGGAACCTCACCCATCATCAAGTCCAGTCTCCTGAACATAAATCTATTAAGCTCCATCTTAAACCTAATTAGGTTGTTTGACCCCATAATTCCTAGGGGGAGGCTGTTTGCAGAACCTCACTCTGACAGTTAGAAATCTTCTGTTAAGTTCCAGCCTAAATGTATTCACAGCCAGTTTATACCCATTTGTTCTTGTGCCACTATTAAGCTAAAAGACAAAAAGCTATTCTGCCTGCCTGGGGTTGACTCCTCCCTCCACACCCTCATGTATTTACCGGGTCAAGCTCCAGGGATTCCCCATGCAGTTGTCAAAGTAACAGCCGTGTTAGTCTGTATTCGCAAAAAGAAAAGGAGTACTTGTGGCACCTTAGAGACTAACCAATTTATTTGAGCATAAGCTTTCGTGAGCTACAGCTCACTTCATTGACTTCACTTATAATGTCTTCTGCAGTTTCCACAGTATGCATCCGATGAAGTGAGCTGTAGCTCATGAAAGCTTATGCTCAAATAAATTGGTTAGTCTCTAAGGTGCCACAAGTACTCCTTTTCCCCATGCAGTTGATATGTCAATTCTATTGAGAGAGAGCATAGCAGGGCCATAGGAGAGTAAATACAGCCCCAAGTGAGCCAGGTTTTGACTCACTTTTGATGGTCAAGTTTTACAATTTTCTACTGCCCATGTCTTTTTGTTTGGTCTCCCTCTACCCCAGCTTTACTGGGTATTAAAGGGCCACTATCCATTTAATACCAATTGTTCCTGCAGCAGTCTGATAGTAACAGCCTGTTGAGTGCCAACCCAGATAATAAGTATATACAATAAAATTGAGCAGAGTGGGCTAGGATTTAACTATAGCCTCCTAAAATCTTAGCAGCTGCTGTCCAGTAAGCCTCTAGTCCTGCAGTGGCTTATGCACATACTTAACTTTATGCATGCCAGTAGTCCTCCTGACTTTGATGGGACTACACACATGCATAAATCTTTGCACGATTAGGGCATAAACATGGTCAGTTAATGTTGTTTCCTCTTAAACCAACTCTAGCCTGCCAAGGTGTTGGATCATATTAAAGAAGTTCTGTATTAAAATCACAAATGAGTTTGATTCCCAATAGTTTAAATTCCAGGGTATTACTAATTAAGAGGTCTTTTGGCACTTTCTCTCCCTCTCTGTGTGAAACTTGCAAGCTGCTAATTGTGTTAGTACATTCTAAGACAGAGTCTGTTCTCAAAGCAATTCTTTGTAACAGCTACTCACACAGAGAGAGACTCAAAGCAATACTCTTTAACACAGAAACAGCACCCAGAGATTCTCCACCCTTTTGTTGTATCATCTCACTTTGTTAACAATTGTGATTAAAAGAGAGATAGAGGATTTATGTGGATGGATGCTTGGTGTGGATAATAACTGAATGATCAGGGAGGTGCCAGCCTAAGAATCCAGTGTCCGTTGGCTGAAGAAGGCGTCAAGTGGAAATAACCAGAGGACCCCCAGAGGGCAGACTGGAATCCACCCAACAGCCTCAAGAATGGGAGAACCAAAGAACAAGATAACATCTGGCAGCATGGAGCCATCAGGAATGTGCCATCTGCTGATTGATTCAGCAACAGCATGATGAAGCAATTCCCATAGACTGGCATAGGAAGAAATTCCTATAAAAATGGACTCTAGAAAGTGAGAATTTTGGGGGTCTGATTCTGCAAACCAACTTCCAGGAGCATCAGATGAGCATCTGACAAGGCCCTGCTCCCTCCTCATGTCCAGGCCACCTGGCCAGTGGCTTGGCATGAGCAACTCTAAGGCTGGTAACTATAACAACCTTGCAGAACCTGTGTGTATGAATGAATATGTGAATAAATATGAAATTGAATGGAATGTTATAGCTATAACTAACTGCTTACTATGATTCTCTCTGTATTCACAATAAATGTGGTATTTTGCCTTTTTCCCTTTAATAAGATCCTGCTGGTTTTTACTTTATTGGTATAACAAAGGTACAAACGTGGGGGCAATTCATGCTATCACTGCCCCTCCTTTAAAAAAAAATCTCTCCTACTCTTCCCCCCTCCTTAAAAGGGAATGTATTTTCCTACTATCTCATTGCTGCAGGGTGCTTGAAGTGATTTTACTGAAAATTCCCTCTCCTTCCCCTTAAAAACAAGAAAATCAAGTCATACCATCAAGGGCCTGGTTGGGGACATTGGGTCAGGGTGTATTTGAAAAAATAAGTATTACAAAATAAATTGTTTTACACCCTTGTGCCAGCTGTAATAAACACCTTTTACCCGCATCAAAAAAAGAAAAGGAGTACTAGTGGCACCTTGGAGACTAACCAATTTATTTGTCTCTAAGGTGCCACTAGTTACTCCTTTTCTTTTTGCGAACACAGACTAACATGGCTGCTACTCTGATACCTGCATCAAAGAAATTGCTAACCAACTGCAGAGTGGATGACTGAATTCATGCCAGGGGTCAGTGCCAAGCGCTAACGGGATTTGCGAGTAGCGCACTGACCCTAGCGGTGCATGCAGAATACGCAGCTGTCCCCTTGGGGTTGACGGCTCATGCCTCCAGCTGTAGTCAAAGAGGCGGGAAGGGGATCCTTAAGGACTTTTCTGCGGGGCGCTCCCTTCAGCGCGGTGAGATGCCACGGCGCCCTCCCCAGCTCTAGCGCGTGCAGCAGCATCAAAGACGCTCGGGGCGCCGGGAAAGGCTTTTAAAGTTGGGGAGGCAGCAGTCCCCGCCCCGCGTGCCACTTATTGGCCGGGCTGCGCTCATCATTTCCCCGCCAGGGAAAGGGCGGGGCTAGCGACGCGGCGGAGCCTGGCGGAGGCCGCTGCTGCCGCCGCCTGCTCTGTACACGGGGAAGAAACGTGAGAGTCGCTGCCGAGCCAGAGAGAGCGGCGGCGCGTCGGTGCGCACACGGGCTCCGGGCGGCGCCAGGGGAGAGGCGAAGGACTTACTCCCCCAGCCGAGGAGCAGCAGCCGCCCTCGCCGCCGCCTGTGATTTCTGCCCGTAACAGCCGCATCTCTGCCTGCTCCTTCTTTTTAGTTTATTTTTTTGGCAAATTGGCGTAGAGTCTTTGTCTTTTGTGTTTGTTTGTTTGTTTGTTGCACGCCCCTGCCAAACAAAGAGACGGGGGGTGGCTGAGGGAGAAGACATGCGTTCCGTCAGGAAGAGGTGGACTATCTGCACGATAAGTATCCTCCTGATCTTTTATAAGACAAAAGAAATAGCACGAACTGAGGAGCACCAGGAAACGCAACTCACGGGGTAAATGCAAAGCCTTGACTTGTAAGGATTTGACAAAGGCAAAGCAGCGTGTGAAATTTAAATGACTCAGGCTCTTTCTTTCTCTGTCCACCCCTCCACTCCCCATTTCCTTAGGTTTATAGTCTAGCATCTATTTCAACTTTGCGTTTCTCAGCTTGGGGATTGCTTTCATGGACAAAAGCAACCATTATGGCAGAATTGTCTCGCAATAAAGAGTTTGTCTTTGATTTGAGATTTAAGGAGAAAAAGTAAAGTGTGATCTGAGGTTTGCTGAATACCCCCACGCCTCACAAATGGTTGCCTTTTTTGCTGCGGAAAGGGGCAGAAGGAAACCAGTTACTTTTAAACAGGAAAGGGTTGATCAGTGTCGTGTAGTTTTGAAACGGGTGGCACGTTAGATTTGTTGTTTATTTGTGATCTAGGCAAGAACACATTTTCTAAGAAGGTTAGATGGAAAAGGCTTTTGACTGAGGTCTTGGGGACACCTTTCTGGTGGTTGCACTGACCATAATAATAAAATCAAGTTATTTTTCGTTTTGTGGTTTGAGTAATAACAAGGAGTTGTCTCTTTCTGCTTTTGTTGCTTTTGAAGTTTGTACAGCAGATTGCCATAACTTTGGTGATGGTGGCATTGCGTGTACGCTGTTTCTCGGGGATCTGAGAATAGATGAGAAAATCCCCTTCACTCTTCAGACGCTTCCTCTTGCAAACCTCCTCTTGGGCAGACCACCGCCTGTTTCTTTCTTCTCCCGATCCGTGATTAAGACAAAAAACTAAAAGCTGCTTGCTGTCTTCCTCTTGGGTTTATTTTTTTCTCTTTGGTCACTCCAGTTTTTTTTTTAAACTTGAAACTAACGTGAAGAAGCTGGTTTCTTAGCCAAGTCTTTGTTTCCGTCCACCAGAGATGATTGTAGAATTTTTATTCTTCCATGATTTTCTTTTTAAAGAAATGCGATAATGCAGCGGAATTTTATTATTTTTTATTTGTCACCAGAAGCGTAAAACTCGATTTTTTTTGGAAGCGTTCACAGTGGGGGGGTTTATTCATTAATGTTTGCACAAGCCCAGAGCTCACTGGGGTTGGAGGCGCAATATAAATGCAATATAAAAGCAGCGTCACTTATTGTGAGGGTTCATTGGGAGTGGGGGGGAGAGGGAGAGGAAGAATCGGAGATCCCCAGTGAATCATTTACAGGAATGAGAACTCCTTAAAGGGCTCATGGCAAACCTCTGCCCCGTACACGTGCCCCCTACGAAGGTGCCATGTGTGAACGCGGCGGGGCTGTGGAGGTATTACCTAGAGAGAGCATGGACCTCTCCGTATGTGCCTTTCTGTTCATGCATACAATATGGTTCCGTTACCCATGTGCGGCTGGCGTGGCTGGGAAGGAGGGTGTGTGCAGGGAGAGCCAGCCGGTGGCTGGTGTGCGTCCTTCTGCTTGCTGCCAGCCTGCCAATGCCTCGGAGCGGTTTGGTCCAGCCGCTGGCGGGCACAGCTGTGCTAGTGTGAAGGAGGCGAGTGCATCGTTCCCCCCAAGCTCCTTTCTATGCTAGAGGGAGGCGAGTGCATCGACCCTTCTCCACCCTCATCTCTCGCATCCCGTTTCCAAGTTCCTTGACCGGTAGCTATGCTGGAAGGAAGCCGGTGCATCGCTTCCCCCTTCATCCCGACCACGACCAGGCTTCCTGACAAGCAGCTGTGCTGCTGGAAGGAGGGGCGGACCCCGCACCGCTGGAGCGCCTCGCCTGCTCCCCCTATGCCTGGTTGCTGTGACCATGACAAGCAGCTGTGCTCAGCTGGTAGAAAGGTTGCTGCCGGCGGGCTGGAGCAGCTGCAGCAGCAGCTCCGGGCAGGCTTTGTGGTTGCCTCGTACGTAGTGCGTCTGAAAATTTGCATTGCGAGCGTTTGTCGACAGGAAAAGCGCTGACCATCTCTTTCAACCGCAGAGCCGAGCCGGAGCCTTTGTTAGCGAAGACAGGTTGCGAAAGGAGCACCCACAGTTCAGATAGCAGGGCTCCTCCTCCTTCATTAACGCCACTAATTACAGAGCTAGGGTGCCAGGCAGATTGTTCCGCGCCTGCCAGGCTGCAGCGAGCTTGTTCCTTCCTTGCCCTGCTTTTTTTTTTTTTTCCCTCTCCCCCTAGCATAGAGTTAAGCGTGGGAGCCCCTTTGTATTTTGTATGGTTAATAATGTATTGTTTGTATCACCTTTATAAAGGGACACATAACTGGGTGTAACTTTTTCTGTCTTGCTGCAATTTGGTACATTAAAATCTCAGGTTTAGTATAGTTTCTTTACAAATATAGGTATTATAGATACACACTTCACTCCTTTTCCCATTTACACAGGATCAGGGGCATCCACAATTCCTCCACACTCCATTTGGGCCACTTGCAGTTCCTTTCTCTTCAAAAAGAACAGGAATACTTGTGGCACCTTAGAGATTAACAAATGTATATATTAAATAAATTTGTTAGCCTCTAAGGTGCCACAAATACTCCTGTTCTTTTTGAGGATACAGACTAACACGGCTGCTACTCTGAAACCTTTCTCTTCAGACTTCTCTTGATGTGTGTATGTGTATATATAAAGTTAAATGTTTTAGTTGTGTGCCCAAAAAGACATTTAAAACTAGTTAGGCTTCTTCCTCACTAGCTTATTAAAGATAAATGTCTCCTAATAAATACGTGTTTTTATTTATAAAACATATCCTAATAAATGTGTTTTTGGGGCACATATAATACATAAAAATATTTAAAATAATTTAGAAAGTAGTCCCTAACTGTTGTTATAAGACATAAAACCGACGTCTCCGAGTCCGTGATTTTTAGTGTCTAGCAAAGTTATGAATTTAAGATTCTAGGTTCGTCTCTTTGAAGATGGTGTGTAGGTTTCCTTTGAGGGTCAAGAACTGAGAGGTCCGATATGGAGTGATCATTTTATGAAAAGCATTTGCCCATGGATGATATGGTGTCTTTTTGTCTTTTATCATTTTTCTTTGAGTTCATTTGAGAGTGAAGGGATTGTCTGTTTTCACCCACATAGTTGTTGTGGCATATGATGCTCTGCATGAGGTATACCAACATCTTATGATAGGCATATGTAGGACCTATGGAACTGGAAAGGTGTGTTGTTGCGGTGTTGATCATCATAGCAATGGAGATCTGTGTTCCGGCTTTGCATCTGTTCTGGTAGGATCTGGTGCTGCTTTGAATTGGTGTGTCCTGGTTTGAGGGAAGCTAGCTTCTGATGATTTTGGTGAAGTTGGGGGTTTGTTTGAAGGTCAGAAAAGAGGGATTGGGAAAGATTTCTTTCCGGAGTCATATTGGACCATATACAATATGATTATCCATTAATATCAATGAACCAAACAATCAGTATTTTACCCAAGATTGTTTGTTTGATTAATTGATAAATTTGTATATGACCAGAGAGTTTAATATATCTCCAAGGTCAGGAGAGTCAGCATCAAAGTTGATGCTTTCAGGCCTAAATTGCCCTTTGTCTTTAGGTGGATTTCACACTAACATCAATTGTAGTTCCACACAAATCTGGAGGGTAGAATGTAGCCCAAATTTGTTGTTACACTTGCCAGACTATTTACGCAAAGAAAAATTTCTGGGTGTTTGACACATGCTTAGTTTTACGTAAATGGAGCTTTTTCTTCGGTGTATTTACTGATATATCGGGGTAAAGAAGGGATAAGGAGAGCACTTTTATAAATAAGCAAAATTCTACTTCATTTGGAGTAGTAGAGCATTAATGCAGAACATTTGGGACTTTAAGCTCCTGAAAACTTGGTTTTTAAAGTTGTTCTATTGCATCATATTTGCAGTTTGTTGTAGCTGTAGAGTACATCTTGAAGACTAAATCAATCACATTTCAAATAGTAGAGTACTTTTTAGGTACAAGTAACTTAATTGCTAATTCTGTTATGTATGCCACTGTGTGAAAGTACTTAATGGATTACTCTTGGTTCAGTATAAACCAGAATCCTCTCCAATGTATTGTTATACAGTATACTTTCTTTGATTTATTTTGTTAATTTTCCTTTAGATGCATGTACTGTGTCGTGTTGCAAGGCAAATATATGCAGTAAATATGTTCACTGCAGTTGTAAAGAAATTTTAGTGCTTGTGGAGTTGCATGAGAATGGTTAAATGAATTCTGATTGAGATCTTTCCCAAAGAACATATGCAGATAACTTTCATTGACGCTAATAGGATTATTGCACGTGGACTTTTGCAACATCCTCCTACCCACTTCAAGTTAAAATAGAATAACTTGCATAAAGGTGAAAATTACTTAGTTGGATTTCAGTTGGTGGCACCTTACCTCTGAATTAGTACTACATCAGTGCCTCAGCTTGATAGCAATGGGGCACTGGGTTGCTAGTAGTGTTCTCTTTTTGATGAGTTGTGAAACCATGTTTGGCCACTTATGGGCTATTTAATGACCATGCTTGTTTGAAGTGCTACCCAAATTTTAGTTTAGGTAATTACATCCAACCTAACTAAAATCCCCCTGCCGTTTAAATTCGATTGGATTCATCACCATAGACTAATCTGTTTTGTACTGTTTGTGTGTTGCAAAATAATATTTTTTTGTAGTGCCTAGGAGCCCCTATCCTCAACCAGGACCCATTTGTTCTAAGCACTGTATAAACACAGAACAAAGACAGAGCCCCCAAGAGCTTACTGTCTGTCAGCTGGCATGTTCCATTTACCTGCTTTGAGATCTATTGATGAAAAGCTCTATACTGGAGCCAAGTATTAATTTTATTATTTATGTCTTATTTCAGAGGTGGATGCATTTCATTAGTAGGCAGAGAGACTCCTGTAGGTAGTTGATAAAGTAGTTTGAAATGCTATTGGATGAAAGGCACTCCAACTCTAAAATATTATCCAATAAGGATTAAAGCGGTGATTCTCAACCATTTGGGGATCAAGATCCATTTGTAAATCTTGATGTACTGTCATGACCCAGCAAATAGCTGGTTTACTAAGTATTTCTTACTCACAATATAAATAGACACATTAATGTAATAAGTACTACATATGTACGCCATGTGTACCATAGCGGCTGAGCCTGTCCTGTGGGACCGGCTTTGTTTTGCTTCCTGCTCTGGGTGTTGGGACCTCTAGAGTTTCAGTGTCGCTCATGTTTGGCTCAGCCTTCCTGATTGGAGGGGTGGGGGGCATTCTGAGAGTGGGATTGTGAACGGGCACATGGGGTTGTCGTGCCAATCAGATTTGGCTGAGTTGGTCCCTTGTCGTCATGATGGAAGAGTGGCTGGGCCAACCGTGAGTGGCACTGCGATCCCATGCACTAGGACCAAATTTTCCCCCACCAGGCCTTGACACAACCTTTTGATAAATTCTCGTGACCCAATTTTTGAATATGACCCACAGATTGAGAAACTCTGGATTAAAGAACCTCATATTTGAATTTAGGGAGCCAAACTTTGTCTCGTGTATCTCTGTGCTGGAGTCAGTGGGATTACCTACAAGAGAAGAATTTGGTTTAATGTTACTCTTGATATTTTTATTTGTAACTTTTTTAGGTGTCCTATTAAATTTGTGTCATTCTTTGGCCCTCAAGCATGCCACAGACCAGGACACCCCAATTCAATTCAATAATTGCAATTATTATTGTCTGATTTTAATTACAGTACCTCCATACATGTTCATGATCATCAGTCACCACTTCCTCTAGTGCACAAGGTTTTTCCACCTAAAAAATGTCCAGGTCTAACTCTGCTTCGTATGTAACTATGATAAGATCATTCTTTGATGCTGTTTGGCTGTGTGAAGCGCATGTGTGTGCAAAAGTTCCTAAAAATCAAGCTTAAATTACTCTGGGCATATTCTCCCCTTTGTTTCAAGCATGAACTTGTATGGAAATTCCATGAGCAGACCAAGGAAGAATATGCCCCAGTAGGTTGAAAAAAACTCCACATATGGGGGACTTGTAGTATCATTGGGAGACAAAAAGAATCGATGGTTCCCAGCACATGCATGATAACTGAGAAACTGTGTTGGGGAGAGGGGCGGAAAGCTAATACTTAGTGCATCAATTACAGGTTCTGGCCCACATCTGGTCAGTTTGGGACCATATTCACAATAAAAAGCTCATAGTACATACATTGTTTCCCCTGTATTTAAGGTATATGATTTAAAATAACTTAAATACACTGCAATTAAAGAGCTTATATATTTTTCAGATTAAGTATTTCCTTGTATCTAAAATACCATTTTGTTAGGTGGAATTTATTTTTTTGAACATGTAAAATGTGTGAGGATGGGGAGAAATTCTTGCTGCTTTTCCTAATGCATATAAATAAAACTCCACTCGTATTTGTGATGTGTAGAAAAATCATCCTGGCAGCCCCAACCTTACCTTAATGGTGTCTTTTCCATATTACATTTCAGAGATGGTGAGTTGAGTTTGAGTAGATCAATGCTCAATAGCTCTGATAAAATAATTCAAAAGAGTGGCTCTTCAATCTTTCAACATTCTGTAGAAGGCTGGAAAATCAATTCTTCTTTGGTACTGGAGATAAGGTGAGTGCCTTGAATAACACACAGTTAATTTCATATTACTATAGCCTATAATTCTCTCCGTCTAGCAAACGTATCTAGAACTCCTGATTTACAGTTTAAAGGTGGCTGTTGCTTAACAAAATACTGTGCTAGTTCTATTTAATGTTGCACGGTGAATGACCTGAAACCCTGAAAAGAAGTAATACTTCCATCCTCAATGTATAAGAATGAATAAGATGTGAGCTTGAAATAACTGTGATTGATCTTTGTGAGGTAGTAAAATTGTAGTAGTATTGACATGTCATGCAGTTTCCTTTTTTCCGTTAAGTTACTTGAGGCCATAATGTGCCTGACACTAGGGTGGTCGTACCGCGCAGTAAGAGGAAGCCACAACCTCTCACTCTAGGTGGTTAGAGCAGGGCTTCCTGGACCTTGGGCCCAAGCCTGGGGGCTAAACGAAGGGAGACCAGAGCGCTGTGGGTATAGTACTTCCTCTCCCTGTCAAGAAAGCAGGGATCAGAAAGGGTAGGGAATGTGTGAAGCCTTCGCTGGCAGAATTGAGCCAGTAGGTGTGGTGGAATATGCTATACCCAGCGAAGGACTGTGGAAAGTTGCGTGCCTCCATGCTAGGGCAGCAGGGCAGTCTATGTACAGGCCCATATTTGGGGCATTGAGCAAAAATTCAGTCTAGTCCTTAAAGTGGGGCATCTGTGCCCTTTCTATGTAACCATTTTCTTTTTTAAGGGGCAAATCCTGAAGTCCTTAATCAGGTAAAACTCCTATTTATGCAAGAGTAGTTTGCCTAAATAAAGGTTTAGTGAGGCCTGCTGTATTGGGCCCATCGTTTTTATGTCTTGAATGCTAAAGCAAAGAGAATATATTAATAGCTCAATGATAATTAGCATGTGCAAAATTGTGGTAAAAGGAATCTGTGGGATACTTATGACTCTTGAATGTACATCTGAACATCCATATGCTCTCACCATCCCTTTCAGAACAACCTGAAATGTTTGCCATTATCTTGCTCATCACCATCATCTTCCTCATCACCAGTGGCCATCATCTTGGCATCTCCCAAGGGCTACTCCATCTCTCGCTTCCCAAGCACACAGGCTGGGATACAACTTTTATGTTACGCTGACACCACTGTCTCTAATACATATTCAGTTAGGGTTTCTCTCCTCTTCCTTATTTGTATTTCCTCACTCTACTAATGTTGGCGTGCCCTTCTCCTGTAGGTTAGTATATGAATGATCTCAGCTTACTATCATATATCTCAATTCATTGCCCATGACACTATTGTGGTCAGACATCAGCAGATGTCTGACCATCCTAAAATATCAAAAGCTGGTGTTGGCTCTGTGCCTGTGGTTGGCTGGTGTTATGGACAAACTTCCCCCTTAAAAGTACTCTATTCTGGGTTCCCCAAAACTAAGGAGTGACCCATTAGGCCATTTATCTGCACCCAAGTTCATAGGCCTCAAGCCTTATGCTAATTACTGAAGCCAGTGTCTTACAGGATAGAGGCCTGTAGGTTCCTTGCATTACTACTGAAAAAGAATAAATGCTAAAGCTAGCTCTACAGGCTACAGTGATTAGTAAATGAACTCTAAAGTGAGACCTTCTACCTTTAACAAATACTTGGTCCCATTCTTCTTTAAGTTACACCAGTGTAAATTTGGAGTAAGTCCAGTGATTTTACTTACTGCAGTTTTATGTTGGTGTGACTGAGAGCAGAAGTAGTTCCACATGTGAACTACTTCTTAATTTAGTCCAAATTTTGCTATTTTTGCTAGTGCTGAGTTGTACCCTTAATGCATGAGTGGCCCCACTGAAATCTGGGGGGGGGGGGCGTGGTAATGGGCAGAGTAAAGTTCTGCTTACGAATAAGGGTGGCAAAATCAGACTCTTAAGTTACTTTTTGCTTCTGTTTGTACTCTGGAGCCTATATGGCTCATGCATAGTTAATTAATAACTAAATTTTGCTCTAATTTACACCTAGTGTAAATTAATGTAATTCCTATATCAATGGGATTATTTCGGGTTTAAATGGATGTAATGGATAGAACAACTTGAAGTGGGGATGGTGAGTGAGCTCAAAAGAACACTTCTTGACTTTCAAATCCTAGGTTGTTGGGCTGGCAATTAGCAAAATCATTGTTTGACTTGCAAACTGAGCGTATTTGCTATGCAAGTAATTGAGAGAACGTAATTATGAAACCCAGTAATACCTTTTTAGTCACTTTCCAAAATGTAAACATTTAAAACAAATCTATCTGGTTATGCAGGGCAAACCATAAGTGTGACCTTCAGCATTGTAGTAAGTATTTGGTTTACAGGTTACAGAAGGAAGCGCAGAATGTCATACAGTTGACAAACTTAATTTTCCCCAGTTTCAAGAAAGCAAAATATAACATTAAGACAAGGAGAACAAATGTTGAGGAGAGTGTCAGATAAATGCTGCAAAGCCTGTTTCTAGAGCTCTATCACACACGCTATCTTTAAACTACCAAAAATCTTCTGAAAAGTGTAAAGAAAACTATTGTAGAAACAACAGTGAGTCAATGCAGATACAGCAGAAACAAAAATAATGTTACTAAGAGAACTTTTTAAAATACTTTGGGCGTATCTTCACTATGGAGCTAAATCGGCATTGCTGCAATCGAAGCAGCAGCATTGATTTAGCTGGTCTGGTGAAAATGTGCTAAATCGTTGGGAGAGTGTTCTCCCATTGATTTCTGTTCTTCACCTCCCCAAGAAGAGTAAGGTAAGATGGTGGGAGAGTGTCTCCCATTGACACTGCATGATGTAGACGCTGCGGTAAGTGGATCTAGCTACATTGACTTCAGTTATGTTATTCACGTAACTGAAGTAGTGTAGCTTAGATCAATTTACTGCGGTAGTGTAGACCTGTCCTTCTTTTGAATAAGTGTAAAACATTACATAATGGTTTATTAAAATGACGATGTAGGCTATGGTATCATCACAGCAACACGTGAAGAAGAGCACATGCTTTCTCTTAGTATAAGTAGGAAATATTCCACTACGCCAGTATGAAGACTAAGTGGCTCCTTGCTTTTTGAGCCATAGTGGTAATGAGCATGAGCATCAAGTCATGCAAGTAGCTTTTAGCTGAATAGGACTTAGGCCCGCATCCTGCCCTAGTCCTCAATGCAAGGAGGATCAGGGATGCTGACAGATGCTGAGAAATTGCTTTCCAGGAATCCTTGCTGCCAGGGTACATGCTAGTCAACAATGGTGGATGAAGGTTGGGAACAACTTCTACAGAGCTGACCATGCCTTTTGGAAACAGTCAGTTGCTATATCTGGTCCCCTTTCTGATACTCTCTAAACGCTGAGAAGAAATCTTATTCTTCTGCTTCCACAACAGGCTCTCTGTGCAACCTTGCCAGCCCATGAACAACAATAAATAGGATCTATCCCTTAATATTTTTTATACTGTTGGAGTCATAGGGACTAACTTCAGAATGTCTCTAGCAAACTCCTAGAGTGTTTTCACTGCTAAAGTAATTGTTCAGCGTTCCAAAGTATGTTAAATGCACTATGTGGATCATGAAGATGATTCATGCTCCTATTATTGCAACTGTTAGTGTGAATAAAATGTTCGTACTTGTGGTATGAGGTATGCCATAGCAAATAACACAGAGAGAAACACACAATAAAAAAAAGCTATCACCTACTGAATAATGTATAAAAAGTTGTCAGTTCTTTGCAATGGAGAAATAATTTGTGAAACCCTTAATGTATAGTGTACAGGCATTTTATAAAACACAATAGATGGCAGCGACTGCTGTGTATTACATCAGCTTGACACCCACAATAAAAAGTTCAAAATGTGAAAAACTTCTGACTGGGATTTGCTTTCTACACGGATAGCATGTTTCATTGTGTGACTGGATCTAACCTCTAGGCAGCTGAAAGTCTATGGTTCATTTTGTACTATCTCTTGAGCACTCTCCATTACCATTTTTGACTTGCACAAGTAAATGACCGCTTTCCACCATCTACAGAAGTCCTAACTTTTTTTATTTATTTATGTATATTTAATCAGATTCTTGAGATGGTCATGTTCACACAGGTGGGAGGGTGAGCAGCTGCTAAGCTGTTCCACGATCAAGACTCTGTGGGCAGGTTTATATCTGAGCTCCTGTCATCCATCAACTGGCCCTTGTGGGCCTTAGCACCTGTCTCTAACCTGGGAATCAGTAGAGGCTGATATGGTAGCCCCTGAGAACATGCCTGTTTAGAGAGGAGGGGGGGCATAATTAGTTAGTAATTGGAGATTGCAGCAAATCTGCTGCCTTCCCAGTTGTGACTGCTCTGGTGAGAGCGTGATTTTCAGATTGATGGTACCCTTTGCCTGCTGCCAAGTTAATTTCAGAACAGATAGCAGCTCCTGTGCCTGTAGGAAGGAGACTAGTTGGCTCCCTTAGTATCTGCTGGCTCAGTCATATGGAGGAGACTCCACCTGCTCATGGAAATTGACACCCTCCTCATATTTTTTCCTCAGTCCTTGCTATACTGGATGACAATAAGGTTGTGTGGGTGGTAGTGTCGAAGTAGAGATTGTGCTGTCAGGATGGGGGATGTAGTAGAGTTGATGAGGAGCTTATTGTCCAGGGATGACTCAAGCACATCTGAGATACAACCTCCGAGGTCTTCAGAGTCCCACTCAGGGTGTGTGACCTTCTTTCACCTCCCTTAAACTCCAATAATGTGTAAACGGTTGGGGGTTGAATCCTCAGAGGGAAAGCAAGGAGAAAATTACCCAAGTGTCTAGTGTGCTGTGTCAGGGAGCAATGAATGGAGATTCCTGTTAAGTAAGAAGAGTGGAAGCCTGCAAAGTGCCCAGCCAGGGCTTTAGTACAGGAAAAGTCAGTAGCTATTTTTTGTATGTGATCCTGCATCGATACTCACAACTAAAATGATCCCCTCACTTTTTTTGTCTTCATTCGTTTGTGAAGTCCATCAATTAGTCCATCAATTAGACTTAGGCCCGC